TGGCCTCCACTACTCAACTCAATCCTGAGGGCAGCCTCTCTGCATCTCAAGCCAGATTCCCAGACTTACCAATTTCATGGACCATTAAGCTGCCAAATGAAAATATTCCCATCGCTTCATAAAAGAATCTTACCCCAAAACCGGAAGAGTATAATCTCAGAGAAAAGGACACATCTTCTCATTTCAACTCTAATAAAATATTCACTGCAATCATTATCATTATCATATGACAAGGACAATTGAAACCTTCACCAACAGACAATGGCCCTCAGGCTTAGCACTCTGCTTTGCATACACTAGACACGCAGTTGCTTTAACATTGTGTGGAAATTAAGATCTGGTGTGTAGGACCATGATTTTGGAAATGCCACATTCAATACCACAGGCAACACCAAGCTTTCTTCTGCAACAGAATTCCCTTTTATGCTCTGGATCTCTGTAAATTCCCTCCAATCTCATCCTCTGGAGTGCACATTTCTCTTCACAGCTCAGTTCCAAAACTATGATTTTTTTTTTAGTTAACTTAAAAAAAAAATAACTAAATAAAACCATCCTTTCTCCCACCCCCAAGCACTCCTGAAGCATAGCTGCCAGTCAAGCTACTCTTCAAAAAGAGCTATACTTAGGTATTGTCTAGCAGAAACAATTTTGCAACATTTCCATAAGAGGAAAAGGACAGAATGGTTAACTTGATTTACAACAACTGTCAAGTCAATAAAAAACAAACAATAAAAAATTGTAATCCACATTTCCATACCATTCGTATTTTCCCAAGTCCTCTTCCCATCTGTATTCCTATGAATCTGTACATTTTATATACCAATAAATTATAGAGTGAGATTTTTTTTCCTGACTATAAAAGTAATGCATGTCCATTAGAGAAATCTAGGTAAGGTTCAAACATTATGGAAACAGTTAACATAAGAAAGGAGGCGTCTCCCTTAACTCTACACCCAAAGATGTCCAAAGCCTTTCAATTGATCCAGGCTTCATGGTTCACACCAAGCGGTGATGACTTGTCTATCCCTACCTTCTTCTCGTATAGCTCCCACTAGTGTTTGGAGCTACTAACAGGGGTCCAGGAACCCTGGTGTCTGGTTATGATCAGAGATACTTGAGTCACTGTCTATTCACTGTTGATTATTTAAATGGCTAACTCCTCACCTGCCTCACTTAAATGTTAATGAGGCTGAGCTTTTGTGAGCATCCAAAAAGCAAAGTGCACTAAAAACACCAAATGGGATCCGTTTCCTTTGCTCTCTACCCCATCATCCTAGCTAGCCAGAGAAGGAGGGGGAAAGCTCATGATCCAGCTAATGACCCTAGGCAGACATAATCCACCAACCATCACTCCTGCTACTGCAGCCAAGTACAGGTATCTTTCCACTTCAGCCACTGTGCTAACATTAAATGACAATGAGAACTTATTCCAGAGACCAAGGACTGCACTGCCAATCAAGGGTAGAAGACAAAGGGACATGGGAAAGGATTACTAAAAATGGACTCAGGTGGGCCCAGCAACCAAGACACAGTATGCCCTGCTCTGCAGCCCAAGCAGCTCCCTTCTCAGTCTATCTAGAAGCCCCAAAGCCGGAAGTCTCCCTCAGAAAGTGCAATAAAAGTCTCCAATGTCTAAATGCACTTTACCCAAATCTAATCATTACCTTATCTCCTATCTAGAATGGCAGGGCCACACACTTAATTTTATGACAACCATTGTATATACTAAATGAAAAGTAAAAGGAAGATAGGAATTGGCCCAAAAAGGAAGGGTAATGGACAAAGGAGCAACAGGCCAGGCTCATGGAAACACAAAATGAGCTTCACCCAAGGCACTAAAAGAAATCCTCCATCACAAAGGTCTGCACCACAAACCTCTGCACTGACCTACTACATGCTCTCATTCAACAGATGGGAAAAGTGAGAACCAGAGAAATAAACTGATTTTTCCAAGGTCACTCAGTGAATTAAAGTAACAGAGGAGCAGAACCCAGGAGATAAGTCTTCAGAGTCCCTGGTTGGTGGTCTTTCTATCAAATCCCCCTAGACCCTTAAATATAGAGTCTATCGTTCTGCCTCTCTGACAAGCCACTTCAGCTGAGAGACACGCCCTTGACATGTATCAATATGCAGAATATGCACTAATAACACATTAAAATTAAAATGGGCCATTTGGGTTTATCTTCCCTACATTTAATTTCATTTGTTAGTAGTACAACACTGCTGAAAGTAAATGAACACAAAACAGTTTTAATATATGGATGGAGGCATCTGAAAACATTCTAATTGTTCTGAAGACATGCTGTTCTAATCAAATCTCATCCTAAAAAACAAATCAAAGATGTTTTGCAGAGAATGCTTAGCGAATAATAATGGAATCCATTGAAAATATTGTATGAGATAAAACATTAAAGTTAGATTGCTGTGGTATCAAGAGTATCCACCCTTAGAAGGGATTTGCTTAGGCAGCTGACTGTTACGCAAAGAAACTTACAAAAGAGGACAGTATATGTAAAAAGCTTAATATCAGTCTTGACACATAATAGCGCAGAACAAATTACTTTCCTCAGCGTAGGAAAATAAGTATTATCCACATAACTAGTAATAACTTATTACAATATTTTCCTAAAAGTTAGTCCCACACCTCTAAAAAACTTAAGATGTTATAAGGGTACTATTTTAAAAGTGTAACTGAAAAAAAAGTAGAGAGACATAATCTTCCATTTTTCTTAAAAGATAAATTTAGATTATCCAGTAAACAGGATAATCAACATAACACTGATAGCACTGCAAGGCTTTCAAGTATTAATTCCTGCTGTAACAGAAAAAGAGTTCAATGTTTGTTTCCCCTTGTTTCTCTATTGGCAGGAAAAGAAGAGTCATAAAAAAAAAAGTTGAAACATGACATAAAAAGTAACAGTTTTTAAATACTGCATGCTCGCATATGTAGATTTTGGTAATATTTAATAGTCTTTTCTCAAATAATGTTGCCGTCGACATTCACATTACTCCAGCAAGTGTAAAATGCTACTGTTACATTTTAGCTCATCAAGTTTTTCAACTACCACTTCATTAAAGTTTCAGAAAGCGGAATCCTGCTGGCTCCTTAGAGGTAAATTATTTAGTTAAAGGGATCCATTTGAAAAGTGAGTAAAAGTATAACACATAATCACCTTCCCTGGAAAAAGGTCTCAACCTAAAGATCCCTTCTTGAAGGCTCTATACAAATATCTTGGGCCATAATTACAGTCTCTGTTTATGAAGAGTCACCTGGCACATCAATAACAAAAGGAAAGGATCTTGACAGAAATCTTGCACCTGTGGTGTGTCCCTCTCACCTCCTGGAATGCGCCCACTGAGCAGGACTGCCTCTGTCTTCTCTCAGCATTGCCCCCAGCCTGGAGAGTCCCTCATGACAAGTACCATCCTTTCAAGATGATGCCATTTCTAGGATTCTGCAAGTTCTGAAAACAACTGTTGAACAAATACTGCTTTCAAGTTACAAATTGAAAAGGGCAAAGCCTGCAACCTAAGTTCATAAAGAAAGCCCCCTTCCAGGGTTCTGTCTGCTCCTGAAAGGCTGGCCACACAAAATCAGATGCTCTAATTAATATGGCCAATTAAGGATAAGATTTGAAATATAAATCCATGATAAGGACAAGATCTGAAATATAAATCCATGACAAGGAATTTTTTTAAAAAGCAAAGACTGAAGAGAGTAAAACCCAGAAACACATCAGATGCTGCTGTTTGTTCTTAAATCAGTGAGAAAAGAAAGCAAATGACAAAACAATGCTGGTCTCACAAAGTTTCCTCATTTCTTGGAATTCACGCACCACTGCTGATATCAATTTATGATGATCCCTTTAGTTATTTCACTTAAATCATCAGGCACAATGTGAAACCAATGACTGAAGGACTTCTTAAAACTATCCCTTAGAAGAGCCCAGTCCCATCCTAGCTTCTGACACTGACCTAATTCTCTCAATTTCGGCCCTCTCCAACTACTCAATCCATCCAAAAACATCTCTGACAGTTCGTGGCTCAAAAACCGCGCAGAACTTGACTACAAAACGGCCCCAATTCTAAGTCTGATATGTCCAGACAATTTCTCTTTTAAAATTCAACTCCCACGCTCCCTCGGCCCTTGACCACGGACCCCTGGGTTCTAGAACTCTACACCCAGGTGAAACCACTTCTTATTGTTTCTACCGGACCTCGCATCCCTCCCTCCTTCCAGCTCTAAGATTTTCGTAGCACAGATGTCATTTCTGGCTTTCAACCCTCCATTCCGCCCGGCGGGCAGCAGGGGCTTTCTCAGGACCCATGTGGCCAGCTTCCCTGATTCGGCCCCCTTCGCACAGCCATTTTCTAGTTAATAGGCTCTCTCCGCCTTCGAGGGGGGAAATGAACTTTCCCCCCCTTTCCTCTCTCCGCGTCTGGTCTCTGAACCCCAGAGAAGCCAGCCCTGTCTCCAACTCCCGGCAGGAGCGCGCTGGCGCCAGGGCGAAGAGCCCAGCCGCACAGCGGAGGCGGGTGCTAGGGCAAGGGGGTGTGCGCTCTTCGCCGCCCGCGCCCACCCTCACTTTTGCCCTCCGCAGTCCCCACCCGGGCGAACCCGATCGAACCCCATCTCCCCTGCCCCAGGCCCTGCCAAGCCTAAGCTGATGAGGGAAAGAGGGCGCCGGTGGCAGGAGGGATGGAAGTCAAGGAGTGAGCCCGCAGTCGCCCTGCCACCAGCCCTGCAGCGCGGGCGCAGGGCGCACGGGACTCCGCAGCGGGTGTCCGCTGCAGATGCGGCGGCAGCTGCTGCAGCTGTGGCTGCGGCTGGGCGGGTGGCAGTGACCGCGTAGCCCAGGGGCCAGGAGGAGAGGAGCAGCCGCAGGAGGTACGTGCAGCCACTAGACGCCCGCCGCTGCCCGGGTCTCTCCCCAGCACTCCCGCCACCCCCCACCCTGCCCCCAAGTCCGGAGCAAAGGCAAAGAGGAAAGCGGGCTCACCAGCTGTGCGCGCGGCGCTCGGCTGGGGCGCCCGGCGGCTCTGCTCCAGTCTCGCCCTCCCCGGAGCGCCGGGATCAGCTGCGGGCGCAGCGCACGAGCTTCCTACTTGAGACCAGCACAGACTCGGGCGACTGAGCATGCCCAGTGCCGCTCCGCGAGTCCCGCGCAGGGAGCGGCGCCGGCGAGATTCCACTTCTCCAGGCTTTGGAGGCGGCTGCGCGAGGAGAGGCTTGGAGGGGCCTGGCGGAGCTGGGGCCCGAACCGAGAAAGGCGGGGCTGGGGGCGGTGACGGTAGTGGGCGGGTGGCGCTCCCAGGGCGACCCCTGCAGGTGGAGGCTGCGGGGCCTTCTGCTCGCAAGCTCCCCCAATCGCCAAGAAGACCGCAGGGAGGCAGTGGGTGCCAGGGTAAGGCTGGGGTCGCGGTGCAGCCCGGGTATCCTCTCCGTGTGGCCTGGCGTCTGTCTGCACCAAAAGGCAGTTGGGTAACCTTATCCCTGGCTTTTCTCCCACATGTCTGCATCGCCTTACAATGGGAAAATGTCCCCAGATGAGAGCAGCCCACACCCACCCAGGCTAGCCAAAAGTTAGTAGGCGAGACCTTCTCCTTCCTTCTGCTCCTCATCTCTACCTCCAGGCATATCCTTCCCCCCCCCCCCGTGTCTCTCTCTCTCTCTCTCTCTCTCTCTCTCTCTCTCTCTCTCTCTCTCTCTCTCACACACACACACACACACACACACACACACAGACTCTCACATATCATTCCTCCATCCGAAAATCAAAAATCACAGCAAGATGAGGCCAGGGGAGAGAAACACCTGCAGGAAGGAAAGGCATAATTTTACTTCCACTCTCAGTGAATTAACTACAACTGCTGAGGAAGTCGAGAAGCAAGGCCCTGATAAGGTAGATACCCAGTTAAGTGGGAAACACTGCTCGGTCCCAGGAGGGCTTCTGAAATAGATTGCTGGATCCGTCTGCGGTTGATAGCAAGCATCTGTGCATCTAACAAGTACCCAGGTGATGCAGGTGCTGCTAGTCTGAGGCCACACCTTGAGAACTCTATATATACACAGAGATCTCAACCTACCATCTCCTTAAAAGAAAAATCCTAAAGGTAAATTAATTGTAAACCCGGCGCATGGGCGCACACCTGTAATCCCAACAGTAGGATCCGGAGTCCAAAGCCAGTCTCAGCAACAGAGAAGTGCTAAGCAACTCAGTGAGACCCTGTCTCTAAATAAAATATAAAATAGGACTGTGGATGTGGCTCAGTGGTCGAATGTCCCTGAGTTCAATCCCTGGCACTTCCCATCCTCCTCCCCCCCAAAAAGTAAACTAATTGTAACTATAAAGTACAGGCTCCTTCCCATCCTCTTCCCCAAACCTACATAATGCAGTCTTTCCTGGAGTAACAAACTCATACCCCATTCTTCCTTATTCAGATGCAGGCACTGTACAATGAAGAGGGGCATTATTTCAGTCCATCATAAATTTATTGAGGGGCCACAGGGACTTCGATTAGGCCTGGGGATAAAAGTGAATTAAAAAGCCAGAACCCCTGTTTTCATGGTGTTTACAGTCCAGCAGGGTGATCCACACCCATCGAGTCCTCACTGTAAAATGTCCCCTCAAACAAGGAGCTTACTAAAAGGGAAATGCACACGATGCCCTGACGCAGACTCCAGCGGGGCTGTGTGGAATGAAGGGGCTGCCTTGTGAAAGAGGGGGTTTTGCATCCTGAACTTCTATGAACAATTACTTCCCTCAGAAGCAGCTGGAAGCCAACAATCATGTTGCTCCTTCTACAACAACAAAATAGTATAGGCACAGAAAAAGCCCCCGAAATCCATGAAAGTGCTCGTTCTTGGGGCAGAGTCCCTGCACCCCAGGATGGGCCTAACGAGTTTGTGATCCATGGACCATCGAGAGCCACAGTTCACTTAGCCACCTGGGAAAAACTGACTACACGGAAAGCCTCGTGGTTCTAGTCCGCGTTCTTCAGGCCCAGAGAGGAAATTGGCCCGACCACGCCAAGAGTCAGTAGCAGAGATCGGCGAGCTTCCAGGCGAGCCCCCTTCTACCGGCACTTTATTTCCCCAGACACCACAGATTCCCGGAGCCCCGCCCTGCCACCCGCTACTCTCGGTGGTCCCGGGGCACGGAACATCGCCCGCCCCTCTAGGATCGGTCTCCTCCGGACCCAGAGGAAAACCCGCGGTGGAGTGCTCGGCGGTGGGGCGGGGCCACGCGCGCAGGCGCAATGGCCGCCAGGTTGGGCCGAGGAGGCGCCCGGCTCCACACCTGATGCAATCAGCCTTCCGGAAACGGGCACTGCTTCCGCGCCCTGCTCCCGCCGCTGCGCTCCACGCCCGGCTTGGTCCCGGGCAGAGGGCGACGTTCTGCATACCCCAGGGGATCTGCCGGCGAGGTCGGGAAGTCGCCTCCCGGACCAGCAAAATCCCTAGATGCCCTGGAGAGTGACGTCGAGACGGCCACCGAGGGTTCTGCGGCTGCAGAAGGAAATTCCCTTAATGATTTCCAGAAAGGACGGGCGGGGGCTGCAGGGCCGACTTTTAACCTTCCTTCGCTTCCTTCCTTCGTCCGCTTCCCACACCTATTTTCTTTCTCCCTGGGAGGAGAGTTATGGTAACAGCTGTCCGAAGGCAGGAGGGGAGGACGCCCTGGTGTACCTCTCTGCCCTGCTACCTATGCAACAGTCCCTTAGCCTGCCTGGCTCCAGTGTATAGATAAGTCATCGGTGTCTCTGTACCTCGTCCTCTAACTCCACAAAGAAAATCATTTCTCCATCTCATGCCATTTGGATCGCTATTGTGAGTGGGTTTTTCCCTGAGTGCTGACTCACCCCATGAATTGTTTTCTAAGGAAATGAAATATTCCAAGAATATGCTAAGAGCATGTTTTAGAAGGTATGAAAGCAAACGCTGCGAATAGCACACAAAAATCATGTCTGAAGTCCCTGAAGGCCAAAGGTCCTCCTCAACCTCCTGGGGTTGGGGGTGGGGAGACAGTCAAGGAATTTTACTGGGAAGGAGACTTAAGTGACTCTTCTAGAATCTAGTCCAGATCAACTCGGAGATTTTACAGGCAACGTTTGCCTCTCTGTTGCCCAGTGATATGAATGCCTTTTCCCTCACTTAAGACAAGTCAGAGTCAGAAATGGCACTTGAACCCAGATTTCTCGAAATTCGAATGGTCCATGGATCACAAACTAGTTAGGCCCATTCTGGGGTGCAGGGACTCTGCCCCAATAGATAACATATATTCAAGAGTATATGTTATAATGCTATTTTTCGATCTGTTTTTAATTTTGTTAAAAAGTACAAAATTGGTAGCCACAAAGGGGATCCTATTACTTGTCCCTCCTTGTTAAGTCATTAGTCTTTAAATACTCCTTGATCAACAACCTATCCATCTACATCTCATAATGCCAGACTAGGCAATTAGTATCTCAGTGGCGTGAACTGTAAGACATCAAGAAATCTTTTGTGCCAACATTAGAACCTCTAGTATTTTTATTTGCTTGTGGAGTATGTGAACTATTTGAGGTTAGTTGATTCAAGGGAGTTTTAATGATCACAACAAAACATCAGGGTCATGGTTTGCTTTTGTTAAAATTTAAAATACTTTTCACAATATAGAAATCAAAAGGAGGACTGTGGTTGCGGCTCAGTGGTAGAGCACTTGCCTAGTATGCATGAGACACTGAGTTCGAGTCTCAGCACCACATATAAATAAATGAATAAAACTTCTGTCAACAGCTAAAAAAATTTTTAATGCTTGCAATTTTTTTTAAAAGGGAAATACAAAGAGATAGCTTCACAACACAATAGCTGCAATAAGATAATATCTAAATAGTAACTTCAGAAGTCTACCTTTTTATCTTGAATGTGTATTTCTTTTTGGAATGTTCTGACATTTAGAGATCTGGGAGAATACCTGCTACAGCAAAAATAGAGTTGAGTGAATGTCAAAACACAGAGGTGCAATGTACAAGCTCATCACAAGGTACTGATTATGGAATACCTAACTTTTCCTAAGTGTTTAGCATGTGCTAGAGACTGGCTAAGCGTTTTTTATGGGTTATGTAACTTAATCCTCACAATTACCTTGTGAGAGAGGTACCACAGGGCAAAATAAGGCAGGGGAATGTGAAGTAACTAAAGGAAGATACAGCATATTTGGTGGCATAACTGGGATTTGAACCCAGGCAGTTGGCCTGGAGGTTGTGTTCTTTAATACTCTACACAGAAAAACACAGTGGAGACACTGATTATGATTTCTGTCTCATAGAAGAAAGTGGAGTGTTGTAACTTCCTTCCCCTTTTTCTAAACCAAAAAATTTGATAAAAATGTTGTGGTCTACATTAGGAAAGAAGCCCTGCTAACTAATGAGTTAAGATCTCTGTTATGGTTTGGATCTTAAGTGTCCCCCAAAAGCTCATGTGTTCAAGGTCCCTGACTGGTGGTACTATGGGAGGTGGTAGAAACTTCAGGAGATGGGACTTAGTTGGAGCAAGTAGGTCATTAGGGGCGTGTCCTTGAAGAGTGTATTGCGACCTCAGACCTCTCTTCTCTTTGCTTCCTGGTATTATAAAGTGAGCAGCTTTCCTCCACCTTGTGCTTCCGAGTGGACAAACTGAAACTTTGGAAACCATGAGCCAAAATAATTTTTTCCTCCTTTTAACTTGTTTACCTCAGGTATTTTGTCACAGTGACAGAAAGATAACATCATCCCCAAACTTAGAACTAGCCTAACCAACACATATAAAGAAGACAATCAAATATCTAGTGATTTTTCAGGAGTACCAGTCAGGTTTCTCCTTCAGTGACTGCTCTGGGCCTGGTTGTTTTCTCTAGTCCCAAACTGTGGGATATGGTAGTCACCAGCCACATATGCTATCTATACGTTGAAATTCATTAAAATAGCTCAGGATTAACATTTCAGTTCCTCAGTCACAATAGTCACATTTCAAGTGCTCAATAGCCCCATGGGCTGATGACTGCTGTATTGGACAGGACAAATAAAAAACACTTCCAGTATGCCAGAAGCTTGTTTTGGACCATGCTGCTCTGGTCCTTTATAAAGTTTTAC